ATTTAAAAAAAAAAAAAAAAAAAAAAAAAGATAAACGTGGAAACAGAAGGTAGAAAAATCAGGAAGATGGTCCGTAATACATTCAGGAAAATTGTGTAGAATTGCACATGTTTTTTTTTCTCTCAGATAATGATCAAATTAACAAAAATGCGTATATTTGCTCAATATCCACATACGCGTGTGAGGTAAACAATAAGAAAGAAGAAAAACAGGGAGCGGAGAGAAAATAAAAATCCATACGCGACACGTTTCAATAAAAGAGGGTAATTGAGCAAAAAAAAAAAAAAACATTGGATGTGCTGCGGGTTTGAGAGACATTTGCAGACTTCAAAAAGCCCAGTATTACAGCAAAATAGTTGGTTAGGGCATTTAAAGCGCGATGGAGGCTTATAAAAACCAACAAATATTTTTTACTTTGCAGCAATAGCCTTGGGGTTCTCAGGAGCGGTCTTCCAGCTCAAAGCGACCATCTTGAAGGCTTCCTTGTGGGTGATACCAGGATTGTTGTTCTTGACCTTGGAGATCTCGTTCTTCATGTATTTGTTGTAGGGCGACAATTTTTTGGCAGTCTTGGTGCCTTTGGAGGCCTTCGAGACCTTGGACTTGGAGACCTTGGCGGCGCTAGCAGGAGCCGAAGCGGTAGCAGTGGTGCTCTTGACACGAGTCATCTTAGTAGTGATAGAATGTGGACCGTAGGAGAAACTTGGGCTGAGATGGTTTGGCTTGGGCCACACACACACAAAAAAAAAAAGGGGGAATAGTATTGAAAAAGATAGACTAGGAGGGAATGCTGGGCGAAAGGAAAGGTAGGAAGGGTGGCAAGAGAAGGACAAGTGGCGGCTGGCTATTTATTCCTCAATGCGCGGAGGGCAATGGGTGCGCAGCTAGGCGAAATAGGCAGGATAGGCCCGAGGAGAGGGGGGGAGAGGGGAGGAGGGCGGACGCGAAACCGAGTAAATGCTGGTCAGCCCCCCCCCCTTCTTCACCAGAATGCACGGAGCCTGACGAAGGGTATGGAAATTTGGAAGGGAGGGGGGAAGAGGCGCGTCGTCAAACAAGGTGGAAATCGAGTTGCGAGAGCGATCCAGCCAATGTGAGGAGGATTGGTGGTCAGATGCGCCGCGAGTTTGAAGGGCAGTTGGGCCACTTGCTTCCCTCGGCCTATTTTCGCGCTGGCGCGGGAGGAAAGAAGGGTCATTGGCGCGCGCTCCACTCACGCAAAACAGCATGTCTGGCAACAGCCGCCGCCGCACAACGACGGTCCAACGGCGGCGCCCAAGCAAAGGCAGCGACTTCCAACGCCAGCTCGCGTTCCATTACATCCTACAAGCTCAACTTACCCGTGCCGCATCTCACCAACAAGAAAAAAAAGGAAAAAAAAAAAACACCACAGCATCAGCATACTGCAACCACATCATATGCTTTTTCTTGGCTCACAGACGAAACAAAAAGTGGCTCACCTGTGCAAGAAGGCCCTCTGCGGATGGCCGGCCAAAGTGCGCGTCCAACGTACGGAAGACAAAGTCATCGGGAGCCAGGGCCACAAAACACAGCCAGACTGCCGTCGTGTCTTTGGTAGACTTACGCGAACGAGCGGCGGCTACGCAGCACCATTGGCGCCAGAGCAACGTCTGGTGGAGTACCAGATTCCGAGACTCACGGCGGGTGTTGCCGAACAATTCTGCCATGTCGCCGCCTGACTGGCTGCCCATTTCCTACACGCGTTCTTGTATTTCTCCCCCTCCCCCTGCGCTGTGCAAATTTAGTATTGTTGACAGCATCAGCTCTGCAGGCTCGCAGCACTGACACATCCCATTCCCACTAAGACACCCACTGCGTTATTAACCAGCGCGATTGACACCAGGAGGACCCATCCACTGTGAATGTGCCGAGGCGCAGTAGAGGTCCTTGAGACCTACCCTCATTTTCTGGCTACTGCTGTAGACAGCACCAGGACCGGAAACATTCTTCATTTTTCTGGCATCACTGACGCACTTACCTTTAGCATTCTGCTGCCTGAAAAGTTGCTGTCGCGAAAAATGCGTTTCCACATTTCTACAAGGCGGTGGTCTCTTGTGGCCAGAACCAGACATGCAATGTCGCGCAGCATTTGCCTGGCCAGAACTTCATCTGCCAGAACAGCCCCGAAGATCCGGCGCACCCCAGCTGACTTTTGGCCCCCACTCAATAAATGCAGAATCTACATTGTGCAGTGTTATTGCAGGCGGCTAATGAGCGCATTTTCCTGATTTTCCTGGTGCAATTGCTTTCATCGAGTATCCATTCCTTTGCTGTAGGCCCTGTCAACAGCTCCAAGCAATACTTACTAGTTGCGCACGGACCGCTTCCAACCGCTCCCACAGCCTACACTGCCAATGCCACCAGAAATAAAATGCTAAGCAACCACCACGTCTGTGTCTGGAAAATAAAGCACAGCCATTCTTCAGTCACAGAAAAAGAGGACAACATACCTCAGTGTCGCAGATATTGGCAACATGGTTGCCAGCTCCATAGCATGGTCCTGTATAAGCCTGTGGCTCTCAAGCCGCGCCCATCCGCAGTCGTCCAGAGCTGGAAGCATGTACTCGAAAAACCTCGCCTCTTGGGAGCCACAGCATAGCATAAAAGCCTGATCCCACACGCGCTCACGCTTTGCCATGTCCCATGTCCCACGTTTCTCTGCCATCAGCGCCACCAACTGTTGTAGCGCATACCTCTGCCCGGCAACCTGGTCGGCGACAACGACGTATCCAGGTATCTTGCAGATGCGCCCATGTCCACTACCATTGGCGGCAGCAATCAGCCACTCGACCACTTGTGAAAACCACCGCGCAGCACTATTGGCGTCCACACATCAATTGAATATGTTTGTGTTATTCAGAAGGGTCTTTCTCTCTTCATGCGCTGTAAGAAACGTAGCCAAGCTATTAAACCTACCGTTGGTTGGCGTAAGTGCCTGTGTTCTGGATTTTGCTGTATGCCGCGGCTGTGTCGATCACCGTCCCCGTGAGTCTGCTGCACCGCGCCACTGCTCTACTGTGCGCAATCGTTGTCAGCAGTGGTCCAATCTCCGGAAACCCCTTTGCGCATTCGTGCGCGCTGTGGCAGTGCTG